CAGAAATTCAATGCAATTCCTCTAAAATCAGGAACAAGACAAGGCTGTCCACTCTCTCCATACCTCTTTAATATTGTACTTGAAGTTCTAGCTAGAGCAATATGACAACAAAAGGAGATCAAGGGGATACAAATTGGAAAAGAGGCCAAGCTTTCACTATTTGCAGATGATATGATCATTTACATAAGTGACCTGAAAAGCTCTACCAGGGAACTCCTACAACTGACAAACACTTTTAGCATAGTGACAGGATACAAGATCAACTCAAGAAAATCAGTAGCCCTACTATATACAGAAAATAAAAGGGCTGAGAAAGAAATCAGAGAAACATCACCCTTTACTATTGCCACGAACAACATAAAATACCCTGGGGTAACACTAACTAAACAAGTGAAAGACCTGTGTCACAAGAACTTTGAATCTTTAAAGAAAGAAATTAAAGAAGACACCAGAAAATGGAAAGATCTCCCATGCTCTTGGATAGGTAGGATCAGTGTAGTAAAATGGCAATCTTGCCAAAAGAAATCTACAGATTCAGTGCAATCCCCATTAAAATCCCAGCACAATTCTTCACAGACCTTGAAGGAACAATAATCAACTTTATATGGAAAAACAAAAAAGCCAGGATAGCCAAGACAACCCTATTCAAGAAAGCAATGTCTGGAGGCATCACCATCCCTGACTTTTGAGCTCTATGATAGAGCTATAGTCCTGAAAACAGCTTGGTATTGGCATAAAAATAGCCAGGTAGACCAATGGAATCAAATTGAACACCCCGAAATTAACCCATATTCGTTTGGACTTCTGATCTTCAACAAAGACGCTAAAAATATACAATGGAAAAAAAGAAAGCATCTCCAACAAATAGGGCTGGCATAACTGGATGCTGGCATGTAGAAGAATGCTGATAGATCCACGTCTATCGCCATGTACAAAACTTAAGTTCAAATGGATCAAAGACCTCAACACAAATCCAGCCACACTGAACCTCTTAGAAGAGAAAGTAAGAGGTACCCTTGAACAAATTGGTACAGGAGACTGCTTCCTGAACATAACACCAGTAGCACAGAAACTGAGGTCACCAATTAAAACATGGGACCTCCTGAAACTAAGAAGTTTCTGTAAGGCAAAGGACTCAGTCAACAAAACAAAAAGGCAGCCCACAGAATGGGAAAAGATATTCACTAACCCCATGTCTGACAGAGGGCTAATCTCTAAAATTTACAAAGAACTCAAGAAGCAATTCTTCAAAACACCAAAGGATCCAATTAAAAAGTGGGCTACAGGACTAAATAGAGAATTCTCAACAGAGGAGTCTAAAATGGCTGAGAGGTACTTAAGAAAGTGCTCAATATCCCTAGCCATCAGGGAAATGCAAATCAAAACAACTCTGAGATACCATCTTACTCCTGTCAGAATGGCTAAAATCAAAAACATCAATGACAGTTTATGCTGGAGAGGATGTGGAGAAAGGAGAACACTCCTCCACTGCTGGTGGGAGTGCCAATTCGTACAACCACTTTGGAAATCAGTATGGAGACTCCTCAGGAAAATGGGAATCAGTCTACCACAAGGCCCAGCAATTCCACTCTTAGGCATATACCCAAAAGATGCACATTCATACAACAAGGACATCTGTTCCACTATATTCATAGCAGCATTATTTGTAATAGCCAGAACCTGGAAGCAACCTAGATGTCCCTCAACTGAAGAGTGGATAGAGAAAAATGTGGTATATTTACACAATGGAGTACTACTCAGCGGAAAAAAACAATGGAATCTTGAAATTTGCAGGCAAATGGATGGCACTAAAAGAAACCATCCTAAGTGAGGTAACCCAGTCACAAAAAGAGAAACATGGTATATATTCACTCATATATGGATTTTAGATGTGGATCAGGGGAGTGCCAGCCTATAATCCCAATGCCAAAGAGTCTGGGAAACAGAACCTTCAACCAATGAATGATGGAAGCAGAGATAGACACTCACAGCTAAACACTGAGCTGATCTCAAGGAATCCAGTGACAGAGAGGGAGGACAGATGAGCATAGGGGGTCAAGACTGGGCTTGTTTAACCCACAGAAACAGATGACCTGAACAAGGGGTAGCTCTTGAATCCCAGACTGATGGCTGGGAATCCAACATGGGACTGATCCAGAACCCCTGAATGTGGGTGTCAATGAGGAGGCCTAGGCAATCTATAGGGCCTTGGGTAGTAGATCAGTATTTATCCCTGGCATATATATAGACTTTGGGTGCCCATCCCACAATGAGAGATGCTCTCTCAGCCTTGACTTTTGGGGGAGGGCCTAGGCCCTGCTCTGGATGAAATGACAGACTTTGGACATCCCTCCCTGGCCTCACCCTCTGGGGGCAAATGAGTGGGGATGGGGGGGTTGGGATAGACATGTGAAGCAACCTTGTTTATAATTTAAATTTAAAAGTAAAGACAAAAATAAATAAATAAATAAATAAACCAGTAATTCATTAAAAAAGAAAAGAAAATATATTGTCCAACAAGTTGGAAAATGAACAAACTGACATATTACTGATGACCTTTCTTACTACATATGACCTGCCAATATTAAATCAAGAGGATACAAACAACTCAAGCAGATCTGTATCGAGCAATGTGATTGAAGCAGTAACAAAGTTTCTCCCCAAAAGGAAAGCCCAGGTGGGGGCAGATGGTCTACTGGGAAACTCATCCAGACATCCAAAAAAGAACTAAACTTTTCAAATGACTCACTGAAACAGAAAGGGGAGAGATGCCACCAATTTCTTTCTTGAAAACCAGTATCACCTTGATACCCAAATCAGATGAGAACAAACCATCAATAGAAGGGAGAAGTTGTATAATAATTTTCCTTATGAGCCAAGATGCAAAAATTCTCAACAAAATACTTGCTAACCAAGATCACCAGAACATGTAAAAGATTATATTTGTTGGCTGAGTTGTTTCATTCCAAGGATGTATAGATAGACTCGGAAACAGAAATCACATGATCATCCTAATAAACACAGAAACATCTTTTGACAAGGTTTGAAATCCTTTCATAATAAAATTTCTTAAGAAGCCAGAAAAAAAAGCCATGCAAACCTAAACCCAACAACAGTATACTAACTGGGGGAAAATGGTCTTTTCTGTAGAGTCAAGTAAGAATCAAAAGTATTCATTCTTTGCACACTACTTACTTACTACAGTGCTCAGCCACAGCACTAAGACAGGAGAAAAAATAGAATGAATGCAAACAAGAAACAAAGGAGCACATTGTCTGAATACAGGGCAGTGACAAGGCCAGCTTACACACCAGGGCAGGTAGTGGTGAAACTGTGCATAGTAGTAGAACGCTGGGGTGTGACATTGTATGAAATAGGGTTACAACTGCTGTGATGAAATGCCATGACCAAAGCAACTTGGGAAGGAAAGCGTTCTTTCTACATCCCGTTACTCAGCTAAGGAAGTCAGGGTAAGAACTCAAACAGGGCAGGGACCTAGACACAGGAGCTGATGCAGAGGCCATGGAGGAGTGCTGGTGACTGGTTCTCTATGACTTGCTCAGCCTGCTTTCTTATAGAACCCATGACCACCAACCCAGGGATGTCCCCACTCAAAAAGGGCTGGCCCAGCCCTCTCACACTAATCACTAATTAAGAAAATGCCCCACAGGCTTGCTTACAGCCTGGTCTTATGGAGGCATTTTCTCAACTTTGGTTCCCTCCTTTCCGATGACTCTAGCTTGTATCAAGTTGACATAAAACTAGCCAGCATAGACATGAATGCTTGTCCCTGTATAGATAAGCAATCACTTAAAAGTCTAGTTTTCATTGTGTCAGCTTCAGAAGGAAAACTATGAACAGAATTAGATTCAATCAGATTTTATTTTTCTAATTAATACCGTATATGTATTAATTATCGATTTTTCTGAGATAGGATCCCACTATGTAGCCCTGGCTATCCTGAACTTACTACATAGACCAGGCTGACTCAGATTCACAGAGATCCATCTGCCTCTGACTATTGAGTGCTGGGATTAAAGGAGTGTGCCTCTACACACCCACACCTCTTGATGAGTTATTGTATGGTTCTTGCTCGGGTCACCAAGAAGCTCAGAATCAAATGTGTAGCTCAATGTTGTTATGAACTTTGGTATTCCATGTTATTTTTACCTTATTTCCAACAAACTCAGTAAACATAGATAGATTTGTGAAGAACCTTAGAGATCTAAAATAGGCTATTAGATTCATTTCAAATAGACTATGAAACATGGGCATGGTGGTTGTTTCTGGTTGATTTAATTGAATTTTGAATCCTTTAATTTGTATTTCTGGCCTTCAAAAACTTATGCAACAACATTTCAAGTATATATTTCATTTATTAGTATTTCTGTCTTTGAAAAGACACAAAGAAGCATTTTACCTAAGTGGCATTTGATTTGTTTCTGTGTATAAAGCTGTGGTGTGTTGGAGTCTTTGCATTTCCTTCCAGTCTACCACAGGAAAATCTCACACACTTAAGACCTCCCCCTAGTTCAATAACTTGTCTTGCTCGTATGTGTTCTGTATTGTACAAAATTAGAACTGTCTAGAACACAGAGTTCCTCAATAGTCTGTTGGTCTTGACCCCCTCCCATACCCAGTGCTGTGCTCCCTTCACAGTCCCCAGCCTGTGTTGTGACAGGGTTCTGACTTTCCATGCTTTCTTCTGTATCTTTGCAAATGATCACACCCTTTCCTTGGCAAGATCATGCCTCCTTTCTAGCCATCCATATTCCTCCCTATTAACCAAAGCCTCCAGAGACTGGCCTTCCTAGACTCTCCTCTCTATTCTTGGGTACTCAACTCAAGGCTTGCAGGAGCAGTTCAAATGCCCTTTTGGAAGATGGCCACTAAAATTTTACAATTAGCCATACTCCTTCTAATAAATATGTTAAGACTTTCATATGCATTTGACAAACTATAAGTACAAAATCCAATATGTATATTTATTGTTTTTTTAGAGCAACAAAGGAAGTATATCGAAAACAAATAAAACTCTTGTGTGATAATCTGGAAAGAGAACTTCAGAGATGGTAATATGATGTGTTGTGATGTGTGTGTGTTTGAGAGAGAGAGAAGTCAGTAGTATATGTTATGTAGAGTCCAATAAAATTACTGTCCTAAATTAAGTTGTATATAAATTCACTAAGATCTAGATATGTTTGTTAGATTGTGTTTTGTTTTTGGACTGAAAATAACCAGAGTTTTCCATCTCAATCCAGGGAAATCACTGAAGAGTGAGATTGCCAGTATTGATGCAATGTTTGCTGCTCACCCAGACTTCTAGGTCAATTTATAATAAGGGTGATATAGAGGACAGCATTAAGATCATGGACATTCCCATGGACCACTCTGTCTTATTAGTTCTAACGATGGCTCAGTTCATCTGTTCTCATTGCCCCCACTTCTACAGAGTTGGCATTGTTAGTGGCCCCCCTCCTTACAAATTTGTTGTCAAAGAGATGATCCATCAAAAATATGGAGATCAAATGTACCTAGCAAGCACTCACTAGCACTTAGGTATATTTTATTAGTATTGTTACTGTTAACACTATAATTTATAAAACTGAAATTGTACATTTTTACCATTCTCCAAAGATATAGCTTCTTTTGCTTGTTTGTTTTTGTTTGGGGGGAGGGTGGCTTTTTTTAAGTTTGAGAATCTAAAAGCTTGAAGCTTTTAGATACTTTGGATGCTTTAGGTGACCCATTACTATTTTTGCCCATGCCTCTCCTTTCTCAACCTTCCTTGGCACCTTCCTCCCATCCATTCTCAACCTGAAAGAGGAGAGCAGTCCAATGTGGTTTCCACACTGCTGTGATGGACATAGGACCTCTCCTCACTCGGAAGCTGCAGACACAGGTGGTGCTGAGGCAGCTGTCAGCACTCTGTCTGCCTTCCCTCTCAGTTAGTAGGCAGAGTGTGCTTCACTGAAGGCCCAGGAGACATGGTAAAATGGCAGTCAGACTTGCTTTGTTTTATATTTGGCGTTGAAAGACCCCCAGAGTGGGGAGACCCTCACTCAAGTCTCAGGATAAGCCGACGCCCCAATAATTCAAGAGAGACCATTCTTGATGCAAGCACACCAGGTTTATTCGGGGAACCATTGTACTGGGGCCAAGCTCATGATCCTCGCAGGGGCAGAGAAGTTTGACCCCCAGTAGCTGCAGTCAGGGTTTTTTTTTAAAGGGAAAAACTATAAAGAATGTGGGAGTTAGGCAAATATCATAAAGGATGGGGAAGTTAGGTAAACAAACATAAAGAATGAGGAAGTTAAATGATAGCTTATATCTTAACAGGAAGGTTATAGGTTATCTCAAGCAAGCATTCTTTGGGCATTATACAGTTAAACATTGAGCAGGAATGTGGTGAGCTAGTTCCTGGATCAGGGAGTGTTATCTTTTAAGTTTATCTTGAGGTCTCCAGTTTCTCAGGAGAGGGCAGAAGGACAAGTTACTGTGTGATGGGCTAGTCGCTAAGGGTCTAAAAATGTTGAGTTGGGATCTCTCAGTGTGAGCTGCTATGCCAATATGATGTTGAATCTGTTTTGTTCTGATCTCTAGTGTCGTTACTCAGTGGAAAATATGCTGTGCGAGAAAAAGGCACGCACGTTCGCTACTTAAGATAAAGGTGACCATGAAAACGATTTTAAGTGAAATTGAGCTTGCAGAAGAAAGGCGAGCTGAATTACTTGAAGAGGTAAGAAAACCCAAAGTGTTTAGAATTATGGTAGTTCCCAACAGAGAAATCAGCAATACCCCTTTAATATTTAAACAAACCTCATTTTACTAAAAGGTATTTTCCTTTCTCCTGATTTTATGGTTAGTGTAACTATCATTTTTCTTTCTTTAGAAATCTGTCCATTTGGTGTATGCTAACTAGAGATGTTTTAATCTTTTTATTTCGTTATATTTATATATTTGCATATGCTCAAGTAGAGGTCAGAAAACTACTTCAAGTAATTGGTTTTCTCCTTCTACCATAGTGGTCCCAGAAATGAAACTCAGGTCATCAGCGTTGGTGTCAAGTATAGCAGCTTGGTGACAAATGTAGCAGCTTGTGGCAAGCTGGCCCAAGAGAGAGCCAACACATTACCTAGCAGTGCTCTCTAGGGTGTGTCTTTGAGGCATGGAAGTAGATCCTAGCTTCCCAAACATATCCCTTGGCCCCAGACAGGATTTCTCTGTATTGCTTTGGAGCCTGTCCTGGAATTCTCTCTGTAGACCAGACTGGCCTTGAACTCACAGAGAACCACCTGCCTCTGCCTCTCGAGTGCTGGGATTAAAGGCGTGTGCCACCAACGCCGGGCCCCAAGCATCCTTCATTACTCCTATATTTACCCTTTGTACAAGCACCATCCCCCAACCCTTTCATTCTTTGTGTTATTTAGTTAACATTTGGTGAGAGACTAAACTTCTAAAGGAAAAAGGTCAGTGTCATCCTCCTCAGTGTTTGCTGAGAAATCCCACAGTTTATCTGGCTGTTTAGAAATGTAAAACTTAATATGACAAGAAAAATAACAAATCTCATTTTCCTCGACTTAGACAAAACGCAGAGAACAGGAGATCTATGAATTTGTGCAGGAAATTGGGACACTTAAATTGGAATTAGAAGAAGATGAAAAGGAATTTGTCAAAAAAGAAAAAAAGTTAATGCATGAATTAAACAAGTATGAGGTAACTTTCATTTTGCATCTCAGGGTAACTTTGGAGTATCATATGAGAGAAATGGAAATGATATTACATGTGATCATGATTGTGTAAATGTAAAATAAATCTTCCAGTATGAACAAAGGCTAGGTCACAAGTCTATTCTGCATCTTTCCCTTCCCCCCCTTTTTTTCTGAAAAAGAAACAGAAATAGGGTCTTTTTTTATTAAAACAAAACAAAACAGAAACCACCCACATATTCAAGCGGCAAGCAATGAGCACCGCTAGGGAGGGTGGAGCTGTGTGGGAAGCCAGTGGGAGCTGCATGGTAAGGATGGGGAGAATACTGAGTGAGGAGCAGAGCTCAGAATGCCAAAAAATTTTCCAAAAGCCAATCAGGGGTAAATGAAGAAATGAACACTAGAGAGAGTGGAGATGACAGACATCAAACATATCCAGGTTCCAGATGTTGTAGACTGCAAGCCCCGAATCCCCCCTCCCTGTGTGCACACACCACACACACACACACACACACACACACACACACACACGCACACGCACGCACCTTTTCAAGGCGATAATATTAAATAAGGGCATGAGTTTTGGAGGCAGGCACTGGAAGAACAGCTGAAGAGACTGAAGTTCTAGAAGCAAAATCAGTGGATTTTCACCATTTGGGCCAGAAGGAGGGGTATACAGAATTGCCAAGACACAGGCAGCTCTCATCCAAGCTGTCATACACATGTTTCCAATTGTTAATGAAGCTCTACACACCTCGCTGATTTTTATCTTGCTTTTAACTGCCTGTCTGTTAGAGATTGTATTCTTTATGTTTCTGTTGTTGTGATAGAATACCGTGACTATGGTCACTTATAGGAGAAAGATTTATGTAGCTTACAGTTCCAGAGAGGTAAGAGTACATTCTGGTGACAGGCATGGCAGCCAAAGCAGGGAGCTGAGAGCAAGTTGAAAGTAGGGTAAATAGTAAGACCGCAAAGCCTGCCAAGTGATAAACTTCCTGCAGCAAAGGCACACTTGTAAAACTCAAATCACACCACATGCTGGGAACCAGGGATTCAAATGCCCAAGACTGTGGGGAACATTTCTCATTCAAGCCACTACAGTCTTGTTAATTAGCTTTCCATGCCGTGAGGAACCCATAGGAGAACAACTTAAAAGAAAAAAATTGGTTTCAGAGGCTCAAGCCTATGGTTTGCTGAACTGTTATGAACTTGTGATGGGACAGAATGGCAGCAAGAGATTATATAGAACAGAGCTGCTATTTCCTCATGGCCAGAAAGCAAAAAAGAGAGGCAGAAAGGGGCCAGGAGCAAAACACCAGTGAAGGGCACATTCCCCCATCACCTGCTGCCTCCAGCCAGATCCCACATACTCATTTACACCCCCTACCCCCAAGTAGCACTTGTGATATATTATGATTTATTTGCCTGAGGATTCAAGAAGGAAAGACAGCCACAAGCCATAGAAGCCAGGCACACACCATTAATCCCAGCAGCTAGAAGCTAGGAAGTGGTGGTACACACCTTTAATCCTAGGACTCAGCATTGAGAGATACATGGATCTCTATGAGTTCAAGGCCACCCATATCTACAGAAGACTGATCCAGTCCTAAAGAGAAACAGCTCACACAAAGATGTCTCAGTACCTGGGATCACATATCTTTAATCCCAGCATTAGGGATGTATATAAGACAGGAGAAAGGTCTCAGTATCAGGCAAGCATTCATTCTCCAGCCATGTTGAGTATAGGAGCCCAACCCTGTTAGAGGTAAGAGCTCTCTGGTAGCTTCACTGCTTTGCTTCTCTGATTTTCAGCTTGTGTAGTGACCAGCCCCCATTTTAGCAGCCATGACAGGCTAACATGTGCTTGCATGACCTTGCCCCTCCTGTCCTGGTCACTAAGGTCAGACGCCCTCCTCGTGGCAAGGAGCCAATCAAAATTTAACTGGTGGAGCTGTGCTTTACGGCTCTGGGTGTGCTTTACAGACAAGTGCACAACAGTAACATGCAGAGCATAGCAACTGCCCTGGGAGAGCCTATGGGCCATAACAACCAGTTGACCAATCAACACAGGGCAGGTCACCCAAACCTGGAAGCGCACCAATCCTGAGACTGTTTCATAGCCCTAGACACTCCCCTTATGCTGCCCTTTAAGATCCCTGCCTCGAGGTTGCTTGGGGTCTTTCTCCAGCTATCCGCCATGGTGGTGGAGTGAAGGGCCCGAGCTAATGGAGTTAGCTCGTTAAACATCTACAATAAAAGACTCTTTGCTTTTGCATCGAAATGGGCCTCTTGGTGATTTTGGGGTTCAGAATTTGGGCACAACATTTGAACCCTAATAACTGTCTCTGGGTTCATTTACTTATCATGTTACAAGCACTGCCCACTGGGGAGCTAAGCCTTGAACACAAAATTTGTGGGTGACAAACTGATTCAAATCTATACTTACTTGGTAACTATTTGTGGAATGATAGCTAGTGTTACTCAGGGGCAACCTGCGTAATGCTAAAACCATGAGATATTTATTTCTGCTTCCTCGGCATCATATCTTTAAATTGTAGTTAAAACATATGCACATTTACCTTCCCAACTTTTTTCAAAAACAATCTAATGATAATTCGGGTGAAAAACACCTAAGCTATGAGCAAGATACTATGTCAAAGAGATGGAGAAACAGGATGCATACTAAAGAGCTAACCATCCTCTTCCTCTATATTGAAAATCGACCTTGGGTAAACTTCTAGGTTTCTTAACCCACTATGAGATAACCATGGTATTATCCTGTAACACTGCTTATAGTAAGGATGACCTAACTGTCCTGTGGGAATTATCAGTGGGAAACCAGAGAATAGGGTGTGGCCCTTTCAATGACCTGCAAGTTGTGTACAGGTAAGATTAGCCTATATTTGAACATGGGGATTACAAGGGAAGATTATGATGTCTACCCATGTGGTGTTGTACGCAAATTCTGAACCCCAAAATCACCAAGAGGCACATTTCGATGCAAAAGCAAAGAGTCTTTTATTAAAGTTATTTAACGAGCTAAACCCAGTAGCTCGGGTCCTTCATCCATCCACCATGGCAGATGGCTGGAGAAAGACCCCGAGAACTTGTGAGGTGGAGATCTTAAAGGGCAGATAAAATGGAGGACTGGTCACTACATCCCCACTTCTCGAAGGACCTATGACAGGACTCAATCCTGAGTCCTGCCTGTTGGGGGCTCAAAGGGGTGTTAACCAGCACTGCCATTAGCCAACAGATTTTTCTGAGGAAGTGACATTTCATTTGCCTCTGTTGTCATATTATCCCCTATGTGAGGGAGTTTCCTTTTGATTTAACATCTCAACCAGGGAAAGGGGGTGACATATTCTTTCCCATACTACTTCCTGCTGACTTTGGGATGCAGTTAGGGGACCCAAGAAGGCTGAAATGCTAGTCAAAAGCAAAAAGGGAATTCAGGCACTGAGGTATCTATCAGAAGCAGACTCTGTTGAAGAGACCAAGGGTGTCCACATCAGCTGAACTGGTTCACATCCACAGCAAGTCCAGGGCTCGCAGTCTTTAGGAGCTGGCTGTGGTCAGCAACTGATGCTCAGATGCATCTGCCAGAAGCAGAAACCTGTCTAAGACATGTTTAAAGTGGGAACAGAAGTTCAAACTTATGTATTTAATTGGAAATCTTTAGACCCATAGTTTTAGTGACCAGACAGGGTGGGAGTCCCAAGACCAGGGGAGAAAATCCTATCCTCAGGAACAGACAGGTAGGATAACGTATAGGCTGTACTGATCTGGAGTCCTTTTGACCTGTGAGAAGTGAATCCAAGCTGTATGACTTCTGATCCTCTGAAGTCTATGTAAATTTTATTATACAAAATGACATAAAGATTATAGACACATTACCATTATCAATCCGTACTGAAATCTGCATTGTATTTTTGAGTCCTAGCAAAAACTACAGATTTGGACTGGAAGTGTACATTTGTCTTCTGTCCAGAGAGCCAGGTATGGATTGGACAGAGGTATCTTTGGCCTGATGAAAAGCCCTTTAAGTTTATACTTAGATGACAACCAAAATAAGCCTAAAAACCTTGAGCTTGTGATTGAACAACAGATCTTACATTTTTACATCCTCTGATCCTTATTGAGGAGCCATATTAAGGCTTTATTTTTACATAAATAAAATGAGCTACCAAGCTGGCTGTAGCCTTGTGGATTTGGCTGTAGGATATTATCAAGCTGACAACCATTAATACTTTCAGAGATATGAGAAGGGTAAATTTTATACAGTTTCTGAGTCTATTAAAAGTGACAGGTACCATTCCATATATACCCAAGTCTCCATTAGCATTGGAGGTACAAGTATCTAAAAACAGCATCAATCAATCTTCGCCAGGCCTGTAAAGTGAGAGTTTTCTTTTTTTCCTCTCTGTGGAAGAGGGACATGGAAAAGACTGATCTTATTTTTTCTAGGCAAAGGGGTTGCAATCAATTTTCCAGTGTCCTGCAGCTTTGTCCACAGTCTGGGCCAGGTCCTGGCAGGCAGCAGGTGTCACATTTGAGCATCTCACCCACTGGTCAGCATCGATACAATCCAGGTGCAGGAACTGGGGTGCCTCGTAATCTTCTTTGGTGACCTTGGGCTACTGTCAGGATCTGGCAGTCTGTATGATAATATAAACTTTTAAGCTAACATTTTAAATGCCATGTTCTGCAAGTGTCCGAAGCATTAGAGGTTTGTCTGCCTTAAGCTTAACTGTTGAAAACATAAGCTGTTGGCATTTTGGGTTGGATGGGGGCAGAACAGGAGTGGGTCAGGTATTTTGGCACTCGGAAGTCACAGAATACTGAGTGTCACACAGCTCAGGGGAAAAGGTATCCTGGAGCTCTGGAGCCAAGGACCACCACAGGTTGTAGTAAGCTTAGCAGTTTACAGTCTTGCGGAAGAGAAAGGCTTTCCCCAGTGTATCCGCTCCACTCCAGCAGGACAGGGTCTTCCAGCTAGGGATG